CTAATCAAAAAATACAAACCTCCATCTTAGATTACAGGTCTCCGTCCCAAATGGCAAGGAAACTCGTTACCCTATGCAGCACATGTTTCCCATATTAAGAGGCTCATTAATCCTCCAAAGCTTAACCTATTAGAGGGAGAATAACTGAAATGCAAAGCAAATAGTTTCTGGTATTATATGTATATATGCAAACAGAGTAGAGAAAAGAATCCCAAATAAGAATAGTCACTATTAAAAGGTATGTTCTGTTGGGACGGAGTTATACACAGCGTTTATATCGGATACATACACTATCTAAAAATCAGCATTTATATTTGTCACATGTACAGGAGAGGAGTTAATATAAACATAGATTACACTCTCTGAATAAGTCTGTCCTCCCGGCTGTAGTATACAGGCAGATTTCCTATGAAGTGTAGCCATTAGCCACTCTCTTTTATCCAGTTCCAGTTCTGGAAATATACAACCTGCCCAGATGCTCACCAACAACCTCCTAAATGTGACCCATTTGTTATTATAAAGCCTCAATAGAAGTATCAGTGACTGCAGAAACACAACAGACTTCTAAAATGATACTAGCAAGTAATCTAAACTACCAATGCTCTTACCTGAGGAGGAAAACCAAACAAAATAGTTGGGGTAGAGGCAGATGAGCTGGTACAGGCCTGTGTTCCACCAGTAAATGTAGATTTTACAAACTAACAGCATAATCTGTTAAACCTAGAGGCTTCCTTATACACCTCGTGAACCATTATCATGTCCTCAGGGAGAGAGCTTATATTAGACCCCTGATCACTAAAAGGGGTACACCAAGTTAATCACCTCTGTATAGGTGCTTTTTACTGGGTCTTCTGGGGCAAGAGGCTGAACCCTGGCCAGACATGCAAAAATATTGGACCTATAAGTCAATGTTGCCATGGATTAATCAGGAAAGTTGTTTTGGCGCTTAGAGTATCTGTTTAAATCTCTACTAATTTGTAGTTCCTAATCTTCTGGTCCAAGATTTTGCCAACACACATACTGTATGTATCCTCTTTCTGTATATGAACTCAGTCTAATTTTCAAATTAATTTGACACTATAGTCCCTAGAACAACTACAGCATAATGACGTTGTTCTGGTGTATATAACCTGTATATACACCTATGTGTATATAGATTGTCTCTGCAGGCATTTTACTGCCTAGGGAACACCTCCAGTGGCAATAGCCTCCCAATTGGATTGGCTGAGATCATCAAGTTTGAAGATCTCAGCCAAGTGGTCGGTGCATGGGCGGGGTCAGCCACAACCAGAACTGTGCTGCACTGGAAAAAAGGAAGTAAACTCACCTTTTTTAACCGGAGGTAACTGTCCAGTGTGGCTGCTGGTCAGGAAGGCAGGCGGCGCACAGGCTGAGTAGGCGGCGCTTAGTGATGCCGGGAGCCGGTCCGACGTCATGTTCCGGCTCCCGGCTTCATTAAGAAGTGCGGAGGGAGCTGAGCAGGAAGTGCTCAGGTAAGTATTCTCCCTCGCTCCCCCACTGCCCGCCAGATCAAAAGTGGCCAGCCGGCCGGCTCTTGAGCCCCCCAGGACGCGAGGCAAGCAAGGGATCTGCCTGGGCGTTTGGGGGCGACTTTTTTAGCGCCCCCTGCAAAGTGCCGCCCAAGGCAGATGCCTTGTTTGCCTCGCAGAATACACATCCCTGGCTGTAGTTGTTCTGGTGACTATAGTGTTCCTTTGAAATGTGATTTAAAACAAGACCAAAATATGCTATTTACACAAACTAAATTCTAAACAATATATTGCAGTTCTAAAACACATTACTTTATTATTTCTGTACTACTCTGCTGTATCGTCATACACACCAAAACTATGGAGCTTCTAAAAAAGATGGAATGAGTGGTTAACTCAACAATTGGGACTGTCCCTCCTAAATCAGAACACTTTGGAGGTATGCTTCTGTAAGCTTTCCTAAGTGTTTTATGAAAGGGTAAATGCATAGTCAATCTCAACTGTAACAATTGTGTTTGTAATATATGAATCTAGGTTTTCTGTGATTACCTTGCCTGTGCTTTCCTTTGCCTTTGCTGCTGACGGCAAGCTGGGAAGAAAGCATCCCCTTTTATGCCTCTTATGTGCAATGATTATTGCCTGGATTATATCCAAAGAAATAAGCTCCATTCAGAAAACTCACTCGTCCTGCTGCCTTCATGTGCACATCACGTTTTAAATAACAGCTGGAATATAACTGGCTAACTCTAGCTTATTATCCTGGCCCCAGGCCATTTAACCAATTAGCTACCATTACGATTTTTTCTTCCTAAATTGCTTAATGCACCAGTCTAGCAAGACATTATTAAAGAAAGAAAACAGAACGAAAACAATCTCCTTTGATGCGGTTCCAGACTAATATAATATATTCTAACTGTGGCTTCCTCTTTACGGTATGAGTTCCATCCTTGTAATATGACTTCCTGTTCTTTCATACATGCAACAGTCCATTTGCCCAAAGGGAGGACCCGTCTTGGTGCTGATTAGTGCACCCTATGAAAATCTCTTCCCGATGACATTTGTTTGCAAGGATCACAAACATCAAAAGACAACCCTGAGCCTATGGCAGCAGTCTGTAAAATGTTCTTTATACATATTTGATGTTTATTTCATTTTAAAAAGCAATCCATCCAAAATGGTGCAATGGAAATATTAAGGATAGCTCAATTTACAACTGTAATACTGCTACATTCGTTATTACAGTGCTGTTCATAGGGAGACCCTTTATACATGTTACTGCTAGGATGCTATACTGTAAAGCCTAAAGTGTGCCTGAGAGTGACTGGAGTTACCATTATACATCATTTCCATTGCTCGCAAGAGATTTTTGAAGTTAACAGGTTTTTTTTTTTTTTTTTAAGTGACCAAAACACATCATTGAATGATTAGATAATTATTACACAATTATATGGTACTCATTTTATAAATCTTGGAACAATATGAGGCAGAGGTATTGGGGCCAACTTCGCAGAGGTTCGAACACGTATTACAGCAAGTGTAATAAACAACTGAGCTATTTTAACTCACAAAGGGCGGACAAACCTTCAGTGCCTCCATGGTGCAAATAATTCTGAGTAACAATGCAAGATCTGTGCCCTGGTACTGAACCTGTAAACCCATTCTGTGCCAGGAATACAAAATTGTGGTTGAACAGTCTGGTCTAGAAAGAGCTATGCATGCATTCTAACATTTCACAAAGCATGTGTTATGTATCCACTCTTGCTCCAATCAATAAAAAGAGCAAGGGTTATTATCCATTTTTCCAATCAGTAATGAAAGGGTTAAATATTTGTAAGTCAGGTCAACATAGAAAGGATTAAATATTCATTCTCCCACAATCATGACCCTGATGAAATAAGTAAGAGATCCATGTAATATAGCCAGACGTAAAACAGAGGCTGATTTTACTAATTTATCCGCAGTAATAAAAGTGTCTGAGTGCAGACAGGCTGACCGTGGTAATATGACACTATTTATTAAACAGAATATTTTTTGGATGGCTCTGCGGGTAAAACAATTTAACACAGTTTGTCATTTCTGCAGATGTCTGTGAAAAAGGGATGAATTAGACCATTGGCACATTATGAGGAATCTGGATATTTCAGTGTACGAGACCCTGGTGGCTTCCATTAGATATGTGAAGATGAATCTTACTACGCTTTAAGCTCGTAATTGCAGTGGAGATTCCTGAATAATATAGAGCAGGTGACAAATTAACAAAGCCACTTTGTGCCGCAGAATGCACTGTGCCTTAAGAAGAAATGGGCATTGCTTTCAGTATGTAACTCTGCAGTGCAGGATTCTGTATGTATAGATTGAGGGTCAAGTATACCCTCAAAATATAAAATTGCATGAAATTACATAATTGAAGATTATCCTAGCTTTAATGCATTTATAATCTTAATTTTAATGACAGGAGGCATTAAGTTTTGATTAACCCTCTCTTTACTGAACTCTTAATAGCAGCAAAAAAAAATTTAAATTAAAAACAGCAATCTGACATTAGAGGTGAGCACGATATAAGCACCACCTATTTGGTGGTAAAGTAAACAAAACAAAAAACAGAAACAATCTCAAAGAACAATCTTTTTAAATAGAAACCAAGGTCAAAAGATGTAAAAAAAAAAAAAAAAACACGGAAAATCCAAGGAAACCAACTTACATGTTGAAAATGCGAACACAGGAAATCAAACTGAAAGAGAAAGACAATATGGAAAGGATTAAGTCTGAACCAGAAACACAGCAAACAAACGTAATTGCATATGCAAACGTCAAATAGATCAATGCTATTAAAACTCAACAAACAAGAAATTGGACATTTGGTATAGAAGACAAAACATGAAAACAAAAACATATAAACCTTAACAACTGAAAACTCAACTTTTTCATGTTTAAGGCAATAAACATGAAAAAGAAGAAAAACAATAAACTCACGATAATGGGAGGGAAACATTTAACTCCTATCATTATCAAATTAAGATTTTAAGTACACAAATGCCATCATAATCTTCAGTTTTATTAGAGGACAGTAATCTTCATATTTTGCAATTTTAATGCTGGAGTAAAAAAAAAAAAAAAGTGCACTGTGAAAAGAAGGATAAAAGTACAAAATGTGTTCTCCCTAGACCAATTCACAGAGCGTAAGATATCATGAAGTGTTGCAACTGAAGCAGCTGCCTGTCTAGTGGAATGAGCACCAAAAGATGTGTCAATTCCTGCCAACAAAAGAAGCCATCTTGTACATCTGGCTAAAGGAGAAATTAAAATCGGTTTGTCAGGTCTAACATAAGAAATACAAATTTTTCAATTGAGAACATAAAGATGTTGTGACTGGGGGGGCGTGGCTCGGCGGAGAATGGAGTAAGACGCAGGCACACTGAGCTCTTAGGCCCCAAAGCACCTCAAACGCAGACTAAACAGGGGGTCACACCCGGCCCGGCGCAATCCTCCACGGGACATCTGGCAGGGCCGATGGACGACTACCTCTCCACACCGCAACCGCTGGCCGGCACACGCGGCTCTGACAATATGGCGCCCGTGTCCCCGGGAACAAGTAGCCGCACGGGCTCCACGCACGGATTCCCAGCCCGTGGGTCCCCCAGGGATGCCCTCAGACAGCTGTCCGCGGACCTGGCTGTGACAGCGGCGAATATGCTCACACGTGGAGACAAGACGGAACTCATTGCAGAGCTCCGCACCGCCATCCGGGAAGAAATCACGGCCGTGAGACATGATCTTACAGTTCTGGAACAGAGAGTGGACGCATTGGAAGTGCATCAGCTACAAGCCACACAGCACCAACAGGCATCAGAACTGGCAGCCACTAGGCAGGGTAACATCATACTAGACCTGAGACGCCAGGTGGAAGACCTGGATAATAGAGGCCGCCGTTCTAACATACGTGTTAGAGGAATACCGGAATCTGACGATGAAGCGCCACGGGAGCTGCTAGAGGGCCTGTTCGCCCAAATTCTGGGTGACGAAGCCACGCCGGATTTCGGCTTGGAAAGAGCCCACCGTGCACTCAGAGCCCCGCGCAAGGATGGCCAGCCCAGAGACTTAATCTGTTGCCTCCGGTCTTTCCAGCTAAAAGAGGCCTTAATGAGAGCGGCACGGACACAGCGCTCTATCAGATACATGGACTCACAAATAGCGTTGTACCAAGACCTATCCACCCACACCCTGGATGCTCGACGAGCCCTGAAACCAATCACCTCCGTATTGCAGGAGAAGAGGATCCCTTACAAATGGGGACACCCGTTCAGCCTGCAAGCCAGAGTGGGGAATCAATGGCACATCCTGAGGTGGCCGAATGAAGTCACATGCTTCCTGCGCTCCCTGGGCCTACCGGACATACCCATACAGAACTGGATCTTGGATTACCCGCCGGCCAGGCCTACTGGCCCGATTGCACCGGTAGATATTCTTCGGGAGAGAGGCATACCGGGGCCAGCTCAACGCAGGGGCGGCCCTGTGACTCCAGAGGAATAAGCTAAGTGAGATCTCCCGGAGTGCTGGATGCCTGGCGTGCCGACCCTGCACGCGGCAGTCGCTGGCGGGCTTGAGTGACGAGGCAGGATAACCCCCCCCCATCGCTCCGTAGGACTTGATGCGGCCCAGAGACACAGGGACTGTCCCGCCATGGTATGTAGTGCTCCCCACCCTCCCACGCCATAGCCCCAAGTCAGCCCTGAGGGCATCATCACCCACGGGGGTCACAAAGTTTGGGGGGGTACAGGACGGGGATAGCGGACCACACCGGGACTCCCGGGCGCACTGCCCTCACAAGAGTCTTCATTACCCCGGGAGTAGATGGCTTGGGTGGGGGTATTGGGGTGGGGGAGGCACTACCCCTGCAGTATTGTGGTTTAAGGGACAGTCACGTGGAGGGATTGTGGGACTACTGAACATTGCTTTTCACAAGGCCATGGGATCATACGAGGAAGAAGAAAAGGGCTACCCGTACATGGACTGTTGTCTGTCTTACACACTTGGACAAAGGGCCGCAAAGAGAACTGAGCGGGGGGAGGCGGGCAGGAGGAGACGGGGGATCCGGCCACGCACCCGGCCAGCCCTGACGCCTGACCCTGGTTCTGCCGCCGAGCTAATGCACGGGGCGGCAGGGGTGGGCGTGGAGTGGGTGCGGTGGCGTCTCCGGGGGGCTCACGGAGAAACACAGTACGAGATGACACCGATATATACGCACTATAGAGTGCACGATTCTGTTTTCAGTTCTGTCATAGTTTAACCATGTTATAAGTTACAGGTCTCACACCGGAGACAGTTCACGGAGGAGACCAAGAAAGTTAAGGCTGCCCCTTCCCGGTGCACACCCATACAGACCCAGGGGGTTGAAAAGCGAGAGGGAGGGACCCTACAGGAGGGGAACGAGCACTGACAACCAACATACGCATGGCCCAATAGAATAGGTAAGACGGGGCTCCCCATACGAGGGTCATGTCCTGATCAACGCTTGCAGCCCGGGGGGCGACTGGGCCGGGGGACTGTTCCCCACATAACACAAGACAGGGAGGAACACGTGAAATATACTTAATCGCTGACACCGCCGGCGGGGCTGCCGACGACAATACCTACACGGAGGGACAACTTACACCGTAGGAATCCTTCCACGCACCTCGCGCAACTGACCTACACTGTACATACCGGTCAGAGTTCGGAGAGGTCACCCTTAGAGGAGAGAGCGTACCCTCTACTAGTCACCCACTAAGCCCGGGGGGGCCCCACGCCGAGCGATATGGCACTATTTAGACCGGCACAGCTTAATCTGTGGTCCCACACTGTTCGAGGTCTTAATATACCCGAGAGGCGAGCACAGTTCATTCGTAGGCTTTGGGCAGAAAGGGTGTCCGTGGCGTTCCTGCAGGAGACACATTTTAGAGGTAGAGACGCACCGACACTTGAGAAAAGGCGCTTCCCACAGGGCTACTATGCGAATCACCCAGACGCAAAGAAGACAGGTGTGGCGATCCTATTCGCACACACGGTACCGTTTAGACACAAAGAGACACTCACGGACCCAGGCGGCAGATATATGTTTCTCAAGGGCACCATTGAGGACGTACCATACACTTTTGCATGTATATATAGCCCTAATCGTAGACAGCACATTTTCCTCGCTAAGACCCTCTCCAAGCTAGACAGGTTCAGTGAGGGCCTCTTGGTACTGACCGGATATCTCAACGCCCCTCTTGACCCACACCTGGACTCCTCGAGAGGCACTAGCACGGTCCCAGCACACTGTTTGCGCTCGATGCGACATTCCCTGAACAGGTCAGGGCTAATAGATTGCTGGAGAGTGGCACACCCGGAGGACAAGGACTTTTCCTACTATTCCGCGGTACACAAACACTATAGCAGAATAGACTATGTATTCTTGTCCCAGGAACGCTTAACCCATCTCCAAGAAGCAAAAATTGGAATAATACAGCAATCCGACCACGCGCCAGTACTAATACGGATGCAATCCCCACTGTTCAAACCTGCAGAACGCCAATGGAGGCACAACGAGTCTCTGCTGGATGACCTAGACGCTAATACGTCGGCCCGTCGGACAATCACAGACTACTTTGACACGAATGCCACGGGAGGAGCTCCTACCGAGACTCCTAGCAGGCCTGAATGCTATACGGGACGGAGGAGCATTCCCCTCAGGCGCCCTGGCGGCAACGATCGCGGTGATCCCCAAGGAAGGGAAGGATTTATCCAATTGCTCTAGCTACAGGCCAATCTCGCTGCTGAATGCTGACCTAAAACTGTTCACGAAGGCTCTCTCACTGAGGATATCCCGGATCCTACCAGACATGATTCACCCAGACCAGGCGGGCTTCATCCCAGGTAGGGAACCTAGGGACGACACCATCCGGGCGCTGAACGTTAGCCACTGCGCAAGAACCAGGAATCGGGATGTCGTCCTCCTCTCGACGGATGCCGAAAAGGCGTTTGATCGGGTGGACTGGATATACCTGAATGAAACGCTACGGCACTTCGGCTTTGGTACATACGTGCGCACATGGATCTCAGCCCAGTACACGACACCGACTGCCAGGATACGTGTGAACGGTGCCCTGACTAAATAGTTCCCTATACGCAACGGGACCTGCCAGGGCTGTCCCCTGTCCCTCCTCCTGTTTGCCCTCACCCTGGAACTATTCCTGGAGGCGGTCAGACGGGATGGGGGCATAACGGGGGTTCAAGTGTGCAAAGAGGAACATAGGGTGGCGGCATACGCCGACGATATGTTGTTCTTCCTTGAACAACCCCTGATCTCGGTACCCAACCTGCTGCAGGCTTTCCGTAGCTTCCGCCAGGTCTCTAATCTGAAGCTCAATTTTGACAAGTCGGAAGCAATGCCGATAATGCAGAAAGAAGACGATGTCCATAGACTTAGTGCCCAATTCACCTTTTCGTGGTGCGCAGTGAAGCTACGCTCCCTTGGTACTTGGCTACCGAAAGACCTGGCGCACGTCTACCAGCTGAACTTCCTCCCCTTCCTCAAGAGCATACAGCAGGACTTCCAACGCTGGACGACTAGCTATATCACCTGGTTTGGCCGTATTAATGCAGTCAAAATGAATGTGATGCCACGGCTGCTGTACCTCTTCGCCACCTTGCCGATATCAATACCACACTCCTTCAAATCGGTAGAATCTGGTATCCGCGGGTTTGTATGGAACCACAGATCTTCGCGCATCCGCAAGGCAATCTTGGAGCGGCCCAAATTGGCTGGCGGGCTGGGGCTACCGTCGGCTTCTACTTACTACAGAGCCACACATCTACACAGAATTACTGACTGGCATGTCAGCTCAAGCCCGAAACATTGGGTGACCATGGAACTCCAACACACGCATGGCCGGATCCCCTCGAAATTGTGGCTGGGGGGAGCCACATTTACAGAGTTACTCACAGGCAACCCCATGATTGATGCGACTCTCAAAACTTGGTGCAAAACTCGCTACACCCAGCAGTTAACAACCTCCCCGAGCCCACTGACCCCGATCACGCACAACCCGGACCTTGCCGGGGGTTTACCCCCGGCGGCGTTCGGGAACTTTCAACAAACGGATTGGATTTACGTGGGTGGGTGGTGCTTGCGGGGGACGCTTCTACCACTGCACGACTTACTGGGAGACTTGCAACCAACCCAACTAGATAAATTCCGCTATCACCAGGTGCAGACGTATGTTGCTAGATTGGCTGGAAAAGACCATTTCCACAGGCTACTCTTGGGCTTCGAGAGGCTATGCATGGACAGGAAACACGCGGAACATGGGGTAGCACTCCTATACGGGATCCAACGGGAGACCATGGACAACAGCCCCCTAGGATACATGGGCAAATGGGAACGGGAAACCGGCACACAACTCACGGAGCAAGAATGGGACAAGATAGTCCTCCTAACCCATAAATGCTCTATCAGCTCGAAGATTCAAGAGACCAGTTACAAGCTGCTGTCACATTGGTAACGAATGCCCGATACCCTGAGGCACTTCAACGTCAACAATACAGGCCACTGCTGGAGGTGTGGCTCGGCTCTGGGAACGAGCATACATAGCTGGTGGTCATGCCCACGCATAATGGTATACTGGCAGCAGATCAATACAAAAATCAAAGAGGTCATGGGGGACGACCTTCCCCTATTACCCATGACGATGCTCCTACACCACACACCCATCCCCACACAGAAATACAAACACTCCTTGACAATTCACCTGCTGAACGCCGCAAAGGCGTTGATACCCCTGCACTGGAAAAGTACATCGACACCCACCTTCAGACAATGGGTAGACAAAGTAGAGACGATATATGACATGGAGACACTGACGGCCTCCCTGCAGGGACGCTCGGACAAATGTGCATTAAAGTGGTACCCGTGGAGGCTATACATCTCTACGGGAAGGGCTTAAAACTGGGTATAGACAAGAGGCTCGGGTAGACTGGACTGGAACGAACAGAAGTGCTGCCATGGACCCTGTGCTGCCGGGCCACGGGACCTCACCCGGGCAGCGGACACTCACACGCACCAACAACAACCCTAACCCCTCTTTCCCCACCTCCCTCCTCACCCACCTCCTACTGGACACCCCTTCACACCCTACTGTACTGAAAAAGGGGACAAGGCTAGCCTTGCCCTAGCAAGACAACGCCCAGACAGACTGCTGACACTGAGGTCGGACACAAGAGAGGACTAAAAACTGGCTGAACGAACTGGACCCGATACCCGTCACACAGACAGGATCTCACTAACGTGGAAGACAAGCCTCTACACAAGGGGACACAGGACCCAGTAGTCGCACAGACATGGGCACTAGGACACAAACGGGACCTGACACAACGTAAACCGACTTGACACATGGCTTCACTACTACATGACTTGTTGAGTGCGACCGATACCCCCCACTAATGAGCTCTTGACTCTGCATGCTCCGCAGAACACCGAGGTTAGACACGGACGGGGTGGAATCCAGGCAACC